GGGTTAAGTGACTTGTCTAGGGTCACACAGCTAGTAGCCTATTTCTTTTGAATGCAATGCCATCCTTTCAGTTACCCCAGGTTCACAATGTTGGTGCCATCATTGACTCCCCACTGTCCTGCTTCCAATTAGTTGCTAAATTTTACTTAAATATGAATTCATTTTTATCTCCATAACATCTCTTTCATATCAATCCCTTTCTCTCCACTCATAACTACTCCTTAGTTCAAGACCACATTATGACATTCCTGGACAAATACAATAGCCATCTAGTTGGTATTCCTGCCTCAAGTCCTCCCCCTCACTGATCTGCCCAAAGGATTTTCCTAAACTACATGTCGTTCAGTAAACAATGGTTTGCCTTGCTAGCTCTAAGATCAAATATTATTTTATCTATATCTCATTTTTTAATTTCTATTTTGGGGTAAATTTCATAATGCCCTTAATTATTAGCACAATACTTATAAGCAATGTATAAATAAGTAAATATATACATATTTGACATGAATGTTTGTTGCTTTGTTTAACAATAAGGGTTCATGATCAAAAAAAGTTTACAGACTACTGACTTTGTTCCCTAGTTTAGCACTGTGGTAATCTTGACATTAACCCTGCTGCCCTTTATACAACACAGGTCCTTAGTGACTGAATTCCTACCTTATATACTCTGACTGGGTCCCTGGTTCTCCATTCTGCCAAAGACTGAATTTCCTATTTCTCAGCCCCAACCTACCCTGCTTGGCTTCCATTGTTGCTACCATATCTCCATGATGCTGAAAAACTGTCATCCCAGATCTTTGTAAATTGCCTGTTATCTGACTAGCCTTTGCTTGGATAGATATCCTGGCACTCAGATTCATTTTGGACCTGTGACTAATGGCCATGTGCCCATTCTCTCCATAGACTTATCACCCATTTGGGGGCTGACCTTTGTGCTCATATACCATGCCTCAAATAATCAATACTTGGCCTTGCTTCAATGTTTAGACCACTGATCCTCATCTGACATATTGGAGGATCTGCTTAGACTCTCAGGACCAACCTTCTCTGGCCTGCCCTTTCCTATTGACACCTGAGCCCCAGTCATGATGTCTGCCTTGCTTGACTTTTTTCAGTAAAAACAGCATTTTACCGGAAAGCATCTGCAGTAACTCTTAAAGGCCAAATAGTCAGGCAGCTGAATTATGCCTGAAATCAAAGTACTAAATAAATTGAGTAACCTAATAAACAAAGACCTTCACAATAGAAGTAGGTTTAAAAAATATATGCCTTCTCAGAAATTGGTTACTACTAAATACATCATTTAATTCAACAATATATTTATATATATATATATATATATATATATATATATATATATATATATACATACACACACTTATAAATAATACATGTTTGTGTAGTAGCCTTTCACGAAAGTGCTACCTTGATATTTCATTGTGGCATGATCCATGCCCTCTAAATCTATGCCAACAAAAAACAAGTTCTAGCATGTCCTACCCATCCTGAAAGACTTCATGAATGAACTTAGAATTAACTGAAATTGCTTAAGTATGAAAAAGTTCATCAACAATAGATTTGTCACTTAGTGATGAATTATATGACAGTGGCCATCCATAAAACAAAGGAGACTATAAAATGGCCTTCAATCAATCAATCAATTAACCACTCAACCAGCAGGACCTACTCTGTACTAGGTACTATGTGGGGTGCTGGGAACACAGAGACAAAAATGAAGTAATCTTTGATATCAGGTAACCTATAATGTATCAGATGAGACAACATTACATGTAAATGCATGTATAAGATATAAATAAGGTAATTGGATGAGATTGAGTATGAGGAAGACACTAGTACCTAGGCAGTGGGGTATAGATGAGGAAAGATCTCATGAAGAAGATACCACTGTGCTTCTCTAACAAGTATGTCAACTTATCAAAAAAATTAAGGCAGATGATACAAAGAAACACATTGTTTTAGACCATCTATTAATATTAATTAAACTGTTTGTAATCTAAATGTGATTTCTTTGTCCAACCACTAAAGGGTTGCTATTCCTCAAGTGCTCACAATAATCCATTGCATTCTTCCTATACATGAAATCAAAAGACATATAGAAATGATAGCTAAATGAAAGACTGCCTTGAAGGGAAGAATAAACACACTGACAGTGTTGGTCATCACATAAACAAAGGCAACAAGACACATCATTTCATGGGAAACTTGATCAACTTGTCTTGTAGCAACTTATATGCCATTATCTATTGAGGAGGGTAAAGACATATAGAAATTCTGTGAATAACTGGATAAAATATTCTAAAGGCTGCAACATATTTATTAATATTCAGTGACTTCAACATAAAGGTAGTCAGTCACAGAAGAGCGAAAAATGTTGGGAAATATAGTGCAGGATTAAGAAAAGAAAGATGTCAAAGACTGCTCAAACCCCTCGAATATGTATATCATGCATTCTTTCTTCAGGAAGAAAGTCAGAACATGTTAGATCCACAGAATACAAGGAAGAAAGGATGGAAGGAAGGATGGAAGGAAGGAAGGAAGGAAGGAAGGAAGGAAGGAAGGAAGGAAGGGAGGGAGGAAGGAAGGAAGGGAAGGAAGGAAGGAAGGAAGGAAGGAAGGAAGAAAAGAATTATCTTTTAATGGAAGGAAACAACCAGTTACTGATGTGAAATTCATTTCCAAATCCATTGTCTTTGGCAAGTAAAACAATTAGCTAGTGAAAGAGAAGGTCAAATATGAATGTGAAAACAGAAGACAAGACTAACATGCCAAACAAACAAAAAAAAATACAATTTTAACAGTTTCAACCTGATATGTCCAAGAAACTACTGATGTCAAAAACATGGGAAATGGATATCGTAAAAGACATAAATTCTGATTGTCACCATTTCTTAATAATTGCTTAATAGATATAGCTATTACCATAACAAAGACTCTGATAAAATGTAGGGAAAAAACCTTAGATGGTAAGTACTAGTTCTTGCTAGGCAGAGAGATATGGCAACTAAAACGTATATATATAAAATACGTGTGTATATTCTAGAATATGAAGTCATCTGCAAAATATTCTGAGAATAGAAGATTATAAGTAATATAATTTTTAAAATGAAGAGCATTAGAGGGGAAAATTAGGCTGCAGAAAACTTGATGAGAGACCCAACTAAGCTGGATGATGCCAAGAGTATTTAATAACAAAATGGAAGGAGGGCAACAACCAGATGAAAATAGGACAGATATGTCAACATTTCTATAGCAAACCATTTTTGTTGTCAGTGACAGTGGAACTACAATATTTGAATACTAATACCTCATTCTTTGGCATGTTCTAGGATAAGAGTGGTATTAAATAACCTGAAGTTAGAAAGCTCATCTGGACCAGACCAATACATACAAAATAAATTTATGCTGGGATGACACAATTCTGAAAGTATTAAGAGATCATGTCTCAAGATATCTGGAGGAAGGGAAGAAGATACCAAATGAATGAGAAAAAAAGTCACAAATGATGAGGACATCAATAACTGCTGGATGAATAAATGAAAAGGCATTTATTAAATACTTACTAAGTGCCAGACACTGTTATAAAAGCTAGTGATAAATATCAACAAGCAAGATAATCCCTACCAGTACAGCTAGATGGTGCAGTGGACAAAGCATTGGAGTCAGGAGGACCTGAGCTCAAATCTGACCTCAGACACTTGATATTTACTAGTTGTGTGATGTTGGGCAAGTCACTTAACCCTGATTGCTTCACCAAAAACAAACAAACAAACAAAAAAGATAATCCCTACTTTCAGGGAGCTTGCTTTCTAATATGGACAATCCATATGGCAGAATGGTAGCTCAGGAGAAGATTTTGGGACAGGAAAGTCAGAGGTAATGGTCACAGGAGTAATTTTTGTTAGAATAATCTAGGCACATATCAAAAGATATTCATATTCTTTTTAGTCTTATTATTCTAAATTGTTACAATTATTCTATTATTTCTAAACTTAAGTAGCAAATAATATGACCATTTCCATACACAAGTAGAACAGGGAAAAAAAAGAATTGCACATGAAACCATAAACCTCTCTTAACAAAACTTGCTCATCTTTTTAAGTATATAATAACTTCAACATGTGACTTTCAAAGCTGCTCTGCTAGTCTGCATATCCTTTTAGCCTTCTTTCTGTTCTCTTTTATGCATTTTTTTAAAAAAATGCTTAAATGACCCTCTTTTTTTTTTTGGTAATGCATCACTAACTCCCTTCTCTTGCCCACCTCCCTTTACCCCTTTAAAAAACAATAAGAAGGTTTTTTATAATAATATGCTTAGTGAAACAAAACAAATTCTCAAAGGGCGGTCGTAGACGGAAAGGTACAGAGAATGCCGGAACCCACTGTGCTTATTGCTTATAATTATTGAAAATGCATTGGACTTTATAGATCAAAATATACTGTTAAAAGTTCTTTCTCCATAAGTTTTCTCCAAAGTATTTGCTAAAATTCAAAATTCCTTTAGAGTTGTAACCACAGAGGCAAAATTGATCAACAATCCTGATTGTCAATATAAAAAAAAATGACATTTTCCAAAGGGTTAGGCACTGATATAAATGTCCAACACATACTACAAGTGGAAGAATCATTCCCTACAGATGGTTTGCAGATTACATTGTACTGATTCCATCAAGGCCCAGAATACCACAGGGCTGCTAAGTAAGACCCACAAATAGTCAAAGTTGATTGGCCTACCCAATCCACAGAGGAGAAACAAAGAGGAGGAATGGCTAGGCCCAAGATTGTGAGATGCAGCTTGTGCATGCAGCCCAATTTAGTCAGTCTGGCAGTACATATATTTTGGAGAAGCAATGATCTAGGCTCAGAATAAAATAGAAGGAGAAAGGGCTGGATTACATTTGGGAAATTACATAGGGCTTTCAACAGTCTCAAGCTGATCCCTAAAACAAAAATCCATCTTTTTAACACCAATATTGTTCCAGCAATGCAACATGGCTATGAATCAAAGAACACTACAGTCTCAAAAGAATCAAAATCGCAGGTGACCCAGAGCAATGGAGACACACGAAGTGAGTGTGAGAAGGCAGCAGCATATTATCAATGATGATTTGTGACAAAGAAATGGCATAAAAGATACCATTCCAGAAATGCATAATCAAGAAAGGATGTAGGCTAGTCATGAAGTAAGGAATAACAGATGGGCAGCCCAACTTCCACTCTGATGCTGACATACTCTTAAGAGAACTGAAGCAAGGTCTCCACTTCATTGGGTGAAACCTCCACAGAGGATTTATCACAGGATATGGACAAGAATCACACAGGAGAAGATGGATTCAACTGGTTTTGATCTATACCGTTAGAATAAGCAGGCACATCAGTGAGCTCATAGGTAGGAAGGAGAGGGATAATAGGCATTTATATAATACCTATTATGTGACAGGCCCTGTGCTTAGTACTTTTATTTTGACAAGAATTATCTCATTTGATTCTCACAACAACCCTGGAAGACAGGTGCAATTATCATCCCCATTTTACAATTGAGGAAACTAAGGCAAACAGAGATTAAACAGATTGCCAAGGGTCACACAGCTAATAAATTTACACAGAGCTAAGGCTGAATTTGAACTTGTCTTCTTGATTCCAGGCGCAGAGCTCTATCCACTTGGCCACCATCTGCCTCATAGATGTATTGAGGTATTCAAGTACTGAAATATTCCCAAGGCATCTTTTTTTTTCTCTTTGGCAGCTAGGTCCTGCTTTCAAGGTGCTTATGACCTAATAGAAATGTACACAAATAAGTCTAATAGTTTGGGTGCATTCAGGAAGGCTTCATGGAGGAAGTGGCAAATAGAATCTATCAAAGTTCACTTTGTATTGAAAAACAGATTGATAGATCAGGTACTATATCAGACTCCGCAAGATAGTAAAAGAATCTGGGAAATGTTCCAGCCCATGGGTTCACTTTCTGTAGTAGTTTGAGTAGTAGTTAGTTCCCTTTGGATGGGATGAAATAGGGAATTGAGGGGAGAGTGGTTGCATCCTTCATTGGCAGATGGGGTATTTACACTTAAATGAGATCCATCTAAGCAAGTATTGAAGTATTTAATTAGTTTGTAATGAGATCTAGCAGGATTCTGAGGGAATGATAATAAGGACAAGTAAGTTTTGATTAGAAAGATAAAGACAAATTATCTGACATAAGGTAGTATCCAGGGTGACATCACCAGGACAGGCCCACCAGCATGAGCCATGGGGAGCTGGAAGTTGGTGTAGATTGATGGAGAATTGGAGGGATAGAAAAGGAATTGCAAGGGAGGTAGAAAAAAAAAAAAAAACAAAGGGCATCTGATACTTTATAGTTTTACCAAAACTAGACCGTCCTGTTCCAGTTTGCAAATGATAGAGGTTCTCTTCCCTACCTGTTACTACAACTTCACATTAAGAAAAACTTGACCTATGTGTGTGTCTGTGTGTATGTGAGAGAGACAGACAGACAGACACAGAGACAGAGAGTGAAAGAGAAAAAGACAGAGACAGCAAGAGAGAGAGAGAAACAGAAAGACAGAGACAGAGAGACAGAAAAACAAGAGACAGAGACAGAAAGAAAAGAATAGGAATACTACAGGAAATTCCTGAGTGAAGAAATTCCTTCTAGTGATGCATGTTAGCATCTTCTTTGCAGAGTCTTGGAGTTGACTGGAACAGTGAAGTCAAACTTAAAAAGAAAAGAGGTCACTAATCTGCACAAGGATTTCTGTAGGCCACATATTAACTTTTCAGTTTTAAATTACTTTTAGTTTTAAAATGTAATGTTATCTTTGTTTTATTATATTTTTATTTATTCTGTTAAATATTTCCCAATTACATTTTAATCTGGTTTGGCAGCACTCCTGAGTGGCTGGGTGTTCAATACCTCTGGCCAAGAGTACCAAGAAGTCAAGTCACTTGTCCAAAGTCACATAGCCAATGTGTGTTAAAAGTGAGACTTTAAGTCAGGTCCTTCTGGCTCTGGTACTGGCTCCTTTTCTCTACATTGTCTCTTTTCAAAATGCTGTATGCAAATGTCCCTAAAATAATTTTGCTAAAAACCAAAATGAGAAGGTCAGCTAGGTGGCACAGTGGAGTCAGGAGGACCTGAGTTCAAATGTGACCTCAGACACTTACTAGCTGTGTGACCCTCGGCAAGTCACTTAACCCTTATTGCCTCTTTTGAAAAAATGATTTGCCAATGCTAAATGTTAGGTTGTTTCTGTTTTGAGATTTTAAAAACTATTCAGTGACTACAGAATTATAGATTTAGAGTGGAAAGGGACCTTAGAAGCCATAAAGTCCAACATCTTCATTTTACAGAAGAAGAACTGAGGGATTGAGAAGTTAAATGACTTTCCCAGGGTCACACAGCTAATAAATGTCTGTGGTAGGACTCAAACTCAGGTCTTCCTGAATCCAAATCCAATGTTCTGTCTTCTATTCCACCTAGAAATATTGCATAGTAAGTAGAAAGCCAGATTCAGTAAGTCTTTAAAGCTGGGTTCAAATCCTATTTTTAGCCCATATTGTCTGACCCTGGGTAAGTCATTTAATCTCTCAATGTCCCCAGACAACTTTCTAAGAATAAGTTGCAGGACAGTTGCTTATCTGCATTGATGGAAAGAATTTCCCAACTAAGAGCAATACAGCTGAAATGACACGTATGGACTCAACCCTTCCCACCCTCATTCCACCACTCGAAAAAAAAAGGAGAGGTAAATGACCTGAAATTAGTCTTTCCTGCATGATTCTCTTCCCATTAAAGAAAATATCTTAAAAGAAGTAGACTAAATTTTATATGAGAAATGGGAGGTAATTACAATAATTGCATTTCTGTGGTCTGTTTAAATAACATATTCCTTATTTGTAAAATAGATATCACAATGTATAGTACAGAGTAAGTGCTTAATAAATGCCAGTTCCCTCCATTCCCTCCTTTTCGCAGGCTACCAGGGTTGGTTTTTCATTAGTTCCTGCCCCTCTGTACATTATTGTAATAATATCCCAATGTCAGTGTCTCCACACATCATCATTACTGTCTTTGTTTCCTGTTTTTTAGGCCTCCCTCACTGTCCACAGTTTACCCCCCATCTCACTCTACTGTACTATTGTTTCATCTAACTTTCCTTATGTTTAAAAAAAAAATTATCCAGGTTCCCTCTTTTCCATGTTTTACTTTAACAAGCTTATAACCTTTCTCCTATATTTAGCCCAGGAGGAATAACAGTTAAAGACTGATCAAGTTATACAATTATGGCTCACTTTGAAGGCCAATATCGAATTAGAAACTGCTTTAGAGACAGTTAGTTTCCCAGAGCTCTGAAACAGACAGTGCCCAGAAGGCAGCTGGTATATTCATTAACCACTTGGGTCCATTTATTAGCAACTTGCCTTCTAGTTAGGGATTACCTTCTCTGATTATATGGCTAAAGGACATAGCTGTTGTATCCACGAGTGACTGGGTTCCTAACTGGGGTTCCATAGAAGCCAAGCAGACCATACCCTTTTACCTTTAGAAAACTTTCTGATCCTCCAGTTCATCAGAAGAACTCTAAAGCTTTGATCATGTCACTCTCTTCTTCTAAAGCTTTGCATGGCATCTCCTTGCTTATAAAAGAATATCCAGATTCCATAGCCTGACATTCAAGGTTCACCATCTGGCCTTAACCTACCTGTCTAGCCTCATCTTACTTTGCACCCTCCTCCCATGAACCTTTCACTGTTAGGTTGGTGAAAGTCATTCTCATAGTAGTAGAAGTCAGGTTTTTTAAATTAGCCCTGGCTCTTTGCTGCTATTCTGGTATCTACTGGACGATGTAGCATGTTGAATGGTACTCTGATGAGTTTAATGTATCCTTTCTTGTTCTCTCCTATACAGTGAGAGGCTTGCATCTTATTTTCCCCTTAAACTCCAAGTCATCAGTAATTCTGATTGGACATATATGTGTGCTTCTTACAACCATTCTTCAGCTTTTGGTTGACTGTAATAGACTGATTTTCAATGAATGTGATTCTTATTTGCTTAACAATATCATTCTGGATGGCCAAAATTTCCCAACTATAGAAATAAGTGTGAGAGGAAAACTACAATGGTGGATAGGTAACCAGCCTTGGAGTCAGGTAGACCTGTTCTAGTCCCATCTCTAACATATACTGGTTGTGCGACCCTGATCAAGTGACAGCTTCTCAGGGTCCTAGGTAGCTCTCTATGAATATCCATTATAGAGCAAGAGCCAATCAGCATTAGCAGAGGGTGTTTCCTTAACTGGGAGTACCCTATATGAATGAAATCACAAGCTCAGTCAAACACACATGCACGTGCACACATGCATACATACACACATACACACACATGAAATAGAGAATGTTTTTCTCTTTTCATTTGATGACCATTTAGAGTCATAGAATTTAGAGCAAACCAACTTTAAAGTCCATCCAACCCAACCTCTTCACTTTACTAATGAAGAAAGCAGGGCCAGATGTAGTGAAATGACTTACACAAAACGATGCAGCTAATAAGTAGCAAAGCCTAGATTCAAATTCAGATCTTCAACTTCAGATTCAGGGCTTTTGCTACCTACCTCTCTAGGTTTTTGTTTTTTGATTCCACTTAAGGTCTTCCCAAGTACTCATTCTCCAACAACCAGCATAGCGGAGAAGGGTACAGTAGATTTAGCCTTTGCCCATCCAATCTTTGCTGTTACTTCTCTTATTTTCTGAAATTCACCCTCCTCTTTTGTCTATGCTGGCTGCCACTGGTCCCCTTTCCAAGCCTAGGTTGTCAGTCTGTCACAAAATGTGTTTGACCCAGATGGGTTTTTCCTGCTATCTTTCAAGATTGTTTTATATTTCTGTGCCTCTGTATTTTGGTTCCTGCTTATTACAAATACCTGAAAAGCCCACCTGTCTAACTATGCAATTATGACCCATCCTTCAAGACCCAGCTTGAATTCCACCTTTGTAATAAAGCCTTCCCTGACCATCTCCACCTGAAGTTATCATTCCCTCCTCTGAGCTCCTATAGCAATTACTGTCTATACCATTTATTGGACAATAAATCATGTGCTGCCATGT